ACCAGAACTTGTATTGACTGATGAGCATGGCAGATTTGTTGGGGTAGAAATTAATATGCATGGGACTAGGGCTTTGATAATGGGAATTTCTACCCCAAATGAGGACAAAGTATTGTTTTATAAACAAATTGTGGAGAGATTAATAGATTTCTTTTATGAAAATTGGTGTTTGAAGGGGGATTGGAATGGAGTGATCTCCCCGCAACTGGACAGAACTTCTGAAAAAAATATGAAAATCACTTCAGGGAAATTACCAAAAGTTTTGTTTGATTTGATGGACAATTTAGGGCTGGTTGATATATGGAGACAGAAAAACAGCAATTCAAGAGAGTATACCTACTTTTCCAAAAAACATAGATCCTTTTTAAGAATAGACATGATTTGGATTTCAAAGAACTTGGCTACTAAGGTTTCTAACGTCAAGATTTTACCAAAGACTTTTTCAGATCATAATGCTGTGAGTTAGGTTTATAAAAGGAAATCTAATTCTTTCAGATGGAGATGAAATGAGACCTTGTTACAGAAAGAAGCAATAGTGGAACACTGTAAAAAGAAATTAAAATATATATTTAAAATAATTTAAAGGCATTGATTTAAGAATGGTCTGGGATGCAAGTAAAGCTTTTATTAGAAGTTATTTTTAAACACAATACTGAACTTAAAAAAGAGGCAAAAGAAAATAGAAGCTATTTTGGTTGAGATGAAAAGAAAAGAAGAATTTAAAAAATTTCCAGAGAAGATCAGTATTTCTCAACAAATTAAGCTTTTACAACATCAATTATCTATGTAACAGTAAGAGAAATGGAAATAAAAAAATTATGTAAAGAAAAAAAAAACTTTGAATTTGCAAATAAACCAGGGAAATGGTTGGTGTAAAAATTAAGAAAAGAGAAAGAAAAGAAAATAATATTGAAAATTCAAGAGGGAGGTATGTCTTAATGGATAATGTGGCTATGCAAAACACATTTCATCAGTATTACTCTAATCTGTATAAAGGGCATGATACTTCTTTGGAGAAAATAGATGAATAGTTAAAAAAACAAAATCTACCAAGGATTATAGAGGAACAAAGACAAATTATAAATGAACCTATAATAATAAGGGAAATTTCTGAAGCTATAAAAAAGATTAAACCAGGAAAAGTTCCTGGACCAGATGAATTATTGGGTTTTTACTATAAATGTTTTGAGGATGAACTTTTACAATCTCTAGAAAACATAATGAATTCTATTTTACAGATAGGAAAGATGCCAGAGACTTAGAAAGAGGCTAATATAGCACTAATCTAAAGAGGGACAAGATTTAACTTTAACCAGAAACTATAGTATAGACTGATATCATTATTGAATAATGGCTATAAGTTGTTCACAATGATTTTAGCACAAGGGTGTCAAACTCAATTGCACAGGGGGCCAAAATCCAAAACACACTTTAGGTCGCGGGCCGAACAGGATAAACATT